GGGGACGCATGCCTGTGAAGATCTTGTGCGGGGACTTCTACCAGTTGCCGCCAGTCCCCGCCACCGCTTCCCTGCTGGCGCCTCACGCGGGCCAGTCCTACGAACACCAACAGGGTAGGAAGTTGCTCGCCGACATCGAGTACGTCATCGATTTCGTGCAGATGCAGCGCTTCACAGACCCGTTGCAACTCGAGGTTCTCCACGCCATGAGAACTCCAGGCGGAAAAAAGATCTCTGACGAGAGCTGGCAGGCGATCGTCAAAACAGAGGTCGTTAGCCCTAGCGGCGCTGCTCAGCCTGCTGCCAGCAGCAGCGAAGCCGCTCAGCCACCTCAGTGGGGCCCTCGGTTGCGTGCAGCACGAGGCTGGTACGAGTCGGCCTATGAGTGGCGCATCGTCTCTTACGCCATGCATGCACAGGCCAAGCTTGATGCGCACGATGCTGGCCAGCTGCTCTTTTACGTCCCAGCAATCGACAGACCAGCTGCGACCAGCTGCGCGCCTCGCGAAGCCTGATTTCGACGAGATGCGCGCGGAGCCCAACATCGGCGCTACCGCAAAAATGCCGGGGCTGCTGCCGCTCTTCGTTGGCATGGAGGTCATCCTGACAGAATCCGTCTTGCCGCCGAAGTATGTCCGTGGCGCGCCAGGCAAAGTGGTAGGCATAGAGCTGCACGCTCTGGAGCCTCCGGTGGAGGGCCGCCCGTCCATTGTCTCGGACGGTGTGGTCGTACTCTACTACATGCCAAAGGCCGTCTATGTCAAGATCGATGACAGCGATGAACTTTTCTTGAAGGCCGCGCCGGTGACAGCTGGCAGTGCTTCTCAGCCTGCCGGCCCCGACCTGCGCGGAGTGCTCGCGATCACCCCGCAGGCGCGCCCCTGGAAGTTCAAAGCGAAGACAGGTGGCCCGGCCATCGCGGTGTCCAGGACGCAGTTGACCGTGCTGCCCAAAAAGCAGGGGACTCTGCATGGCGTCCAGGGCAAGACGACGGACCCAGGCTTCATCGTGCACTGGACGTTTCCGCCAGGACTCAAGAAGGAGTCCATTTGGCTTGCCTACTACGTCAGCCTGTCGCGCCCCAGAAGCTTCAACCAACTCTTGAGCCACGGCTTGCCTGACCGGAGCATCATCGAATCCGGCCCCCCGGAACAGATCGCCAAGGCCTTCGCCGAGCTCTTCACGGACAAGATTGCCGCGACGAAGATCGCTTGCGCGAAGGCCCGACAGCAACTGGGATGGCCTGCGCGAGCTTGAGGAGCCATGAGATGCAGGTTGCGTTGTGGCGGTGCTGTTCAGTCTGTCCGTCTGCATTCGCGTGGTGCTTCTCAGCCTGCATGCGCGTGGTGCTTCTCAGCCTGCGCTCGTGTGCAGCTGTGCGCGGTGAGCCTGCACGTGTCGCGGAATGCTTTTCAGCCTGCGCGTGTCTGCAATGCTTTTCAGCCTGCACGCTTTGCAGCTTCTCCGCTTCGCACGCCGCTCCTCAGCGCGGTCCTCTGAAAAAAGGACAGTCATCATCTCATCGTCGCACTCATCATCGCACTCATCATCATCATTCATTGCCAGCGTTGATAGCAGTGTCTCGTTTTTACACGACTCCCACTGTTGATAGCAATGTCTCGTTTTGACACACTTCCAGCGTTGATAGCAGTGTCTCCTTTTTACACGACTCCCAACATTCACAGCAAAGTTTCGTTTTGACACACTGCGAGCGTTGATAGCAGTATCTCCTTTTTACACGACTGCCACCATTGATAGCAGTGTCTCGTTTTGACACATTTCCAGCGTTGATAGCAGTGTCTCCTTTTTACAGGACTCCGAACTACAACTACTACTTCACTGTTACCACTGTTTCATCTTTCCTGCTCTTATTGCTAATACTACTGCGACTGTTACTGCTGCTGCATGCCTCCAGCTATGCTTCGACATATCGATGTTAGGTTGCTTTGCCGGGATAATTTGTTAATTACACACATATATATGTGTGTGTGCTGGCTGTTCATACTCAGCACGTTGGCGTAATTTTCTTGACGTATCCAAGCGTTTCCTGTTTTTTTCCTGACGCTTTCTGACGCTTCCAACGTTTGCCTGACGATTGCCTGGCAAACGTCAGGCAAACGTCAGGAAGCGCCAAGAAAGCGGAGTGGGAGGTTCTACCATGTAGGAGGGGGAGGAGGACAAGGTTCACCAAGCTTAACGTCTGTACAGCATTCGAGCCCAGGACGGCCCCGACCTGGCACGGTGGTGGTTTTATGGGCGCCTTCGGCGTAGCAGGAGGAGAAACACCCCGAACCCAACTTGCCCATTCATCGCCGCCGAGCTAGGGGCTGTGGAGTGTCAGCGCGCCCGGGAGGCTGGTACAGTGGAGACCTGCCAAGAAACACCCTGCTCGCCTCTAGGGTGCCCTGGGTTTCTTGGGTTTCGATGGTTTTGCTATGTGAAGCGTGACGCTTCCACGCCAAAAATCTATGGACGTCCTGGGGTCTCAGGGTTGGGTTTCTTGTGGAACGATTCTTGTGGACTGGCCTCCACTGCAATCGTTTACCCCCCCCCCCGCACACAAGTTTCCCTTCACCCCGTGGTCTTCTCCTCGAGACCCCGACTGAGCGCGCACAAGGCGCAGCTCAAGGCGTCTGGCTATCTTGATGGCGGAGCTGCTGCGTCTCGCCAGCATTAAAAAAAACATACGCGTTCGAATCTGCAGCTGGAGGACAGCTAGGCTCGCTTGGCCAGCAGTACTGTACAAGCTGCATGAATGTCTCGCGTGCAGGATCGCCCAATAATGCACGTTGGTTATCGCGTGGTGGCTCTGGGCAAGCTTGAAGCATTACGTCGGCACCATCATCTGCATGGGAGCGTGCTTCAAGACACAACGCATGTATCTGGAGGGCAGCGCTCCGATTCGACACGTGGGTATTCCAGCGCCGAGTCAATTGTCAAATCATGCATCCCGTTCTCTCGCGGCTGCTCATGGGAGGGCGGCAAGGCACATCGACAGAAGCCTCGGACGCCCGACATCTTGGGAGGGCGGCGACATTGGGGGTGGTGGTCCCGGGAGAACTGCAGAAGCCCTCACAGACACACCGCTAACATTCCAACATCCAATTGTCGTGCAAGCACGGTGCCGGATTTGCCCACTACAACCGTGTACTCACAGTCTTGCCAGTGTCGACGCCCACCCCTTCGCCATAATCACCTTCCCACCCCTACCTCGAGACCTCCCCTCCACCTCACTTCCTCCCACTCCCTCATTACCCCTTCCCCTCCCCCCTCCTCCACATACACACTCGTCCCTTCGCTTTTGCGTTGTCGTCGCACTTGGAGACGCTGCGCTTGCTCCTTTGGCCTCTCTTCGTGTTAGCTGGGTCCACCTCCTCTCGCCCCTCTTCACTCCCCCTCACCCTTCCTGCGCTTTTCCCATTCCTACCATCTCCCTGCCCAACTATCCTTGGCCATGTCCTTTCGCCCTCTGTCTCGCCCTCCATCACATTCCTTCTTCCGTCCCTCCGCATCCAATATTCACTATCTCGTAGAGACGTTCACCTCCCTTCGTCTTCCCCATCCTCTTTTCTCCCTCTCACTATCTCTCCCTGTCCGCCCCTCATTATTCATTCCCCTCGTCCGAAGCGAACGGTGGGAATTCTTTACGCTTCGCGTATCCCCACCAGCCCATCTCACAGCAGCAACTCTTGCGAAGCATGCCGACAGTCGTGTTTTTCAGGCGTGTGTCCGCTTGGCCCCGCATATCTCCCCTGTTCCTCCTTCCTCCCGCCTCCTTGTACATCCTCCTTGTGGGGGGAGCGGGAGAAGGACGAGGCGGAGGAGGAGGGAGAGAAAGCGTTCCTCGTGATTTGAGTCGTTTGGGGTTTCTCGTCCTGGTGTGAGTCGTTCGGGCCCTTCTTCCTGGTGTGAGTCGTTCGGGCTCTTCGTGGTGTGAGTCGTTCGGGCTCTTCGTCCTGGTGTGAGTCGTTCGGGCTTCTCGTGGTGTGAGTTGTTCGGGCCCCTCATCCTGGTGTGAGTCGTTCGGGCCCCTCCTCCTGGTGTGACTCGTTCGGGCTCCTCGTGGTGTGAGTCGTTCGGGGCCCGCGTCGTGGTGTGAGTCGTTCGGGCTCCTCGTGGTGTGAGTCGTTCGGGCGCCTCGTCCTGGTGTGAGTCGTTCGGGCCCCTCCTTGTGGTGTGAGTCGTTCGGGCTCTTCGTGGTGTGAGTCGTTCGGGCCCCTCGTCCTGGTGTGAGTCGTTCGGGCTCCTCGTGGGGCCTCTTGGGGGCCTCTTGGAGCCTCTTGGGGCCTCTTGGGGGCCTCTTGGGGGCCTCTTGGTGGCCTCTTGGGGGCCTCTTGGGGGCCTCTTGGGGGCCTCTTGGAGGCCTCTTGGGAGCCTCCTGGGGGCCTCGTGGGGCCATCTTGGGGCTTCTTGCGACCTCCTCAGAAGCGCAGATGAGCGCTGCCCCCTGAGACGGACAAAATGAGCCCAAAACCTTCGTAACATGAATGATTTTTCTATGAAGGAAGATGAGCGCGGCCCCCTCAGGAGGCCACAATGAGGCCAAAACCGTAGTAAAATCAATGAATTTGGCTTCAAAGAAGAGGAGAGCATTTTTTCTGCTCCCCCCCGTCAGGGCCAGAATCCTCGTGAGGGGTGTCGTTTTTTAGCCCTCCCAGGAGTCGACAGTGACCCCCCTGACGACCCGCGAAACCCCCTCTCCAGGTCCAGGGGGAGGGGGTAGGGGGAGGGGTAAACCCCTCCCCGAAGGGGAAGAAGGGGGTTCAGAACAGAGAGAGCTCCCTAAACCACTCACGCCCAAAGGGCTGGTGGGATTTGATGTCGAACTTTTCATTGTTCAATGTATGCCGAGCATTTCCGCATTGGGGCCCGACATATTCGACAAAGGGTTTTCATATGCGCACTTGTTGTTCTAATGCATCTCGTGGTGAGCATCTGGGCATGAGCGCGCCTCAGTGTGAGTCAGTCGGAGCACGTCTGCCTCCCTGACCGCGCCCAAGGCCGCCAAGGACGTCGGCGCGAGGCTCGAGAAGGATGTGCGCCGCTGGCCGCTGCCCTCTGGCGCCCCCCCCCCCCCAGGGGCTCGGGGCGGACCATCGCCGCTCGCTCGTTCGCTCGGGCGGAGGGGGAGGGGAGAGTTTGGCCTTCGTTCCAAGACCTCCCGGGCAGCTCTTCCTCCCTCTGGAGTTGGTGAGGCTTCGGGTTGCGCGCAGATGCTCTCCCAGGTGTCGGCGCCACCCCAACATACTAATATTAGATGTGCGTCGCCCCAGCAGGGGAGACGCGCGCACCGAGAAATCTTATAGTTAGTATATACGTCATGGCGGGCGGTTTCTGGCCACGCCGCTCGGGAAACGGTATACTATAAGATGGGTATACTATATGTTCGGGTCGGACGTGCGCCTCCAAGGAGGACATATAGTAGTAGTATGTCCCTGTGCGTCCCAAGGTGGTCCGGGCTGGCCTCAATAGGTCCCCGTGTAGCCCTGGGCGGTCTCAACATCCTGGCAACGCCTCCGGCGGCGCCGCAGCGCCCCAGGGTTTTGGTGTGGGGACCACCGTGGACCATTTTGGAAACGGGCCACCCTGCATCTGTGGGTCTACTGGAAAAGTAAAGGTTCAATATCGTGAGCGGTGAGGAAGTTTTTGGCGAAACGCCGGGACCGCCTCAACGACCCCTTGGTGTCGGCTTCACCTAGCAGTGACCTTGGGCTGGAGCGACCTCTGGTGCGCGGCTTCATGGGCGTCCGTGGAGGCCCAGCGCAACTGCGCAAGCCAGTATTGCCGCGCCGCATCAACGATCGGCGGGACGCCACTGGAAAGAGTTTTGCGCCAGCGGGCAATCGCGGAATTCCGCCAATGGGATTCGAACGCCCGAGTGGTTCCTCGAAGGCGCTGCGAAAGCAGACGCTGCCAGGGGCCACCACGATGAGGTCTGGCACTGCTGGGCCGCATCGCGATGACGTCTGGCGAGGTCAGGCGTCATGGCCCAAACCGTCCCCATCCACGGTCCTGGAAGAAGTCTGAATATCTTTCTGGAAAAGCTGCAATAGTAAAGATCCCCAGTGGTTCCAAAAAGATATTCAAACATATTCAAATATATTCAAAGACATCCGCAAATAACACGACGATTTGGAATTTGGGCTGGGATTCGGGACTGGTCCTGGGGCGGAAACGCGCAATTTGGTCGACCGCCCCCCCCCCCCCCGGGAAACCCATGCACGCTGTAGGGTTCGCAGCGTATGCGTTGCTGTCGGTTGAAGTGGGGAGAGCCAAACCTGGTGCGCTCAGATGCGAGCGCAATCACGCGACACGGGCGCCGACGCGAGGTCAAGCTCATTCGAAAAAAAAAGTCGCCCAACCCCTTTGGGACCTGCAGCAGAGGTCACACTAGCGGAGGGTCACTCTAGTGTGTAGTCGATGGTGGCGCGACTGCGAGGAGTTCTTCAGGAGGAAAGGGTGTTTTGGGAGGGGAGGACGCCCCAGACATTCATACGCTATAGGTCTTTTTGAAGCTTCGGGAGGCCTCCAAGGGCCTCCTGCGGCGTCTTGTTGGGGAGGAGAGAGGAGGAAGAGGAGGAGTAGGAGGAGAAGGAGGGGAAGGAGGCGAAGGAGGGGGAGGGGGGGAGGAGTAATGAGAGAGGAGGGAGGTTGGAGTGGGTGAGGGGGGAGGTTGGAGGGGGAAGATAAAGGTTGGAGGGGGAAGAAGAGGAGGAGGAGGAGGAGGAGGACTTGCGCACGCGTTGGCGCAGCGCTGTGCTCGTATCTCATCTAGGTCGCATACCAGCGTTTGTGTCCGCTTGTACGTCTTGCATTTGATGTGTGATTGTTTGGGGACGTCGGGACGTGCCCTGACATTCAGCATCAAGCAGTCACGCCCTCGTCTGAATCACGACCAGGGCCCTCAAGCACAGACGTCACCCTAATTTCTTTAGGTGAGCCGATCCGTGGAGGCCCCAGCGGGTTTGTGGTCTTGGCGTCAACATTCGTTGTATGCGTTCAGCGCCCCCTGACACCCCACACGTGTGTTCGATCCCGCAGTGTATGTTTTGTTATAGGCCGTATTGTGTTGTTTTGCTATGTTCAGGACGTATTCATCGAGAAGATGCAGTCCTTCAGCCCAGACTTCACGGTTATGGTCAGCCTCGCCATGTGATGAAGAGTTGTTTTTTTCAGTGGTGCGTCTGTTTTTGCGATCGCCTTTGCGTCAAGAGATATCGACCACACAATCGTTCCTCTGTGCAACCAGCATGTAGTTTGAACGTGCAAGTGTTGACGGAGTCTCAAGGTTTGGTGTTGCATTATCTTATGACTAGGGCAGATGCGGCGTCTCGACATCGGGTTTGAATCTGGCCGCAGTTTCGGAATGGTGTCGGGATTGCATTGCATGACGTCGTCACTATCGGCTCAGGTATCCGCTGTGTACGCTGAATAAGTGCCATCTCGCCGCAACCCTGGGAACATCGCACGACACTTCGGAAGCGGGTTGGCGCCCCTCCCGCTCCAAGAGGAGGAGGAATACCGGTTCGGAGGCTACATATGATGCCCAGAGATGATATCGGACGTGTGTGCCGAGTATCCGCACCATTGCATTTCCTCATCTGTTCCTCTCTCCCTCTCCCTGTGGCCCCACTCATCCCGTGTGCGTATGTGTGTGTGTGTGTGTGTCGGGTTGGCCTTATACCGAAGAAGGTCTACGACTTGATCATGATGCACAGACTATTAACGTTCAAGCCGCATAGTGCCTGTTTGCGGATCGGTCATTTTGATGGTTTGATGCCCATGCGCATGCCGCCGATGCCCATGCGCAGGCCGATTCTCTGCCAGAGGGTGGCCGCACGTCGCAGCAGTTCTTGGTCGTCAAAATGGCCTCTTAGGAGGTAGGAGGAAGGGGGGGTGACACCACTCACCAGGGGGGGTATTTGAGGAGGTTTACGGTGCCTCCCCGAGCCAGAGATTGGAGACGTCTCGAGCGGGACCACACCACTAGGAGGGACCCGCTGGCTCCGCTGGTGGTGGTGGTGGTGGTGGTGCAGCTTGTCGTTGCTCGTCCCTGGGACCGTGTGCAGACCCTCCTGGCCTCGTGCAGGGAGGGAGTACGCGCCATGCCGAGGCACAGGAGCCCCCTGGCCGGGCATGGTGATGGTGTGTCGGTGCCTTCTGCGCAGATTCTTGCTATCAGGGGCAACGATAGCGGGGGGGTTAGGCATAGGCGGGGAGGCATCGACCCCCAACCGCCCATTGGTCGCAGATAGGGTCCCGATAGCCCCAGCCTGTCCAGCTACGTGCGGAGTCTGACCCATCGACGATCTATCGGCGATGTACCACCGATTTCAGGTCGATGCGTCCCCCGAAGACATTCGTTGCCCGCCATGCCGGGGGTGGGCCTACTCGGCAGGGCCTCGGGCGAGGGACCTTCAAGTGGGGCGGGCGTCATGGGAAAAATCACGGCGAGGCATTGTGCTCCGCTTCGGCTGGCACCTTCACAGGTCGAGTTGGCTCGAGAAATCTGGCAAAAGGCTAGGACCAGGGGACTCGGTTGTGATTTTTGCCGCGGCGCTGAACAACCAGTAGCAAGTCACTAGTGGGCCAGTAGTAGGCCAAATCTATTAGTGGGCCATTAGCTGGACCGTTCGTGGGGCCATTAGTTGGCCATTAGTGGGGCGTTCGCGGCCCATTAGCAGGGAATATATGGGCCATCAATGGGACGAGAAAGATAGCGGAGCATTCCATTAGCTGCTGCGAGAGAGCACCTTCCTTGACACCGCCCCCCTTCCTCTTGCTGAATCGCTCTTGATCTCGCCCACGAGATTCTGTCAGGAGTTGCCTCCTCCCACCCCATTATCCGCCCTCCTTCCTCCTTTCCCCCTGCCCAGCAGCTCGAAGACATGATCTTCCAGGCCAAGTTCGAGGACGGCGACCTAGACAGCCTCACCTACAAGGTGGGTTCCCGCAGCGCAATCGCGAGGAGGGTGACGAGGAGGAGAAGGAGGAGGACGACGACGATGAGGAGGACGAGGATGAGCAGCATCAGGTGCGGAAGCAGGATCAGGAGCGGCTTGGCTTGGAGGGCTTGTGCACGATTCCCCAGGCCCAGAACCTGGCGTCCCCAGCTTTCCGCACCACTCCGGAGCCCTCGGGTCCCTCTGGGGCTCACGAGGGGTGCTCTCGATCCCCTGAGGTGATGTCTGGCGTCGCAGAACATTACGACATCTCATAAAATAACTCGACCGGCGCCCTGGACCCCCATCGTTCTTCGGCATTCTGTGAGCCCGGCCCAAATTAGGGCAAATTCGCTCGTTAAGAAAAAGTTGCGAAGCCAGGATCTCAGGGGACACCCTGGAATCGGGCCAGGGGATCGCGGCGCATCGCCGATGCATCGGCAATGCATTGGGTTGGAGAAGATCGGATTGCGAATCGAACCGCCTCCCCCCGGGAGTCCCGCGGGGCCTCCCTGGGGGAGGAGGAATCGGCAGAGGCGGCAGCAACAGGGGGACGACCGTCGACGATGCCGAGGACGACGACGACGACGCCGAGGGCCGAGGGTGCCGACGACGACGACAGCGGTGGCAGCAGGCGGCGGCGGCGGTGGGCGGCCTGGCGCCAATGTGCTGCCCCGAACAGCCCGCACAGGAGTTCTGCAAGCTGCTGATGCGCTGAGACCGCGGCCTCGCCTCGTCGTGGGGAGGGGCCGTGTGCTCCTCTCGGGGGCAACGTCAGGGGGGGATTGCTTCGATTCGGGATGTGTGTGTGTGTGTGTGTGGCTCAGGCCTCTTTCAGGGATAACGTTTCAGGGTCAACGTTAGAATTCTTCTGACGTTTTCGTCGACTCTCGGTCGGTTTCTCAGCCTCGGGATACTCTCCAGCGGTTGCGCCTCGCCGAGGAGGGCGCTCCAGGGTGCTCGGACCGTCCCGAGCGGCCGCCGGAGAGCCTCGTTGTGACCCGAAAATCGGGGGGGCAACAGCAGGGGGGGATTGGTTCAGGGGGGACGCATCGACCTCCAATTGTTCACCCATCGCCGATAAGGCACCGACAGCCCACCCCGCCGAGGGACGTGCGGGTTCGCTATCGGGGGCCTAGCGCCGATCCATCCTGATCGATGCTTCCAGCTCGATGTTTACCCACTCGGGCTGGTCTTCCCCTGACCTTCCCCCTCCTCCTCGCGCCTGCAGCGACCTCGGGCCGACAGAGAGGTGGGGAGGATAATTGCACGGTGTCCTTCATATCGAAGACGCCTGTGGCGAATCACCGCCGCCTCCTGCCTTTCAGGACATGCCTACGTGGCAAAACGTTTGGGCAAATTTTGGCTGCGCTATTGGACCATGCGTTCCCCCAGCCATTGAGGAAGCAGTTCGGGGTACACGTAGGGGAGGAAGATGAGGATGAGGAAAGGGAGGACAAAGGAGGACGAGGAGAAGGATGAGGAGACCTTTTGGGATCCTCTTAGGTCATTCTTGCGGCCACTGGGGGGCTTCAGGGGTGCCTCTTGGGGGCCTCCTTGTCCTCTTGGGCGCATCTGGAGCCTTCTTGGAGGCCTCTCTTGCCGTTGTGCGGCGTCCCGGCCTGTCGGAAGCCGTCTTGGGAGTTCTTTGGGCCGTCCTGTGGCCCTCTCAAGGCACTTCTGGGTCGTCTTGAAGGTCATCTTGGGCGTCTTGAAGGCCTCTCGGGGCCCTTTGGGGGCCGTCTTGGGAGCCTCTTGGGCCGTCCTGGGGCCACCTTGGGGGCATTTGGCCGATCTTGAGGCTTGGGGACTGTTGGAAGGCCGTTTCGAAGCAGATGCCAAAATCCTTCAAATAATTACGGAAAGTGTATGATTCGGGCCTCTTCGGGCCTTCCTTAAGGACCTCTTGGACGCCTCTTGGGCCATCTTGGGATCGTCTTGGAGGCTATCGTAGGGCTATCTTGGCTTCTCTTTGGGTCATCACAACGTCCGTCTTGGAGGCATCTTGGAGGCCGTCTTGGAGGTGATTTGACCAACGAGGGGGGATGTTCCTGAGCTTTGTGGGCGCCTCTTGGGGCGGAAGGCTCGAATTTTCCGTTGGTGCTCCCCCTCTTGGGCACCTTTTGGGGCCGTCTGGGGGGCGTCTTGGGCGCCTCGTGGGCCCTCCTGGCCGTCTTGGCGCCTTCTTGGGGGCCTCTGGAGCGTTCAAAATTACGCTACCGAGGAACCCCACATACTTAATTTAAATCTTATGTGTTTGCTTATGCATATAATTTATATGCACAGTCCTGCGTTCTGAGCCCTCGTCGCGAATGTTCCCTGCTAGGCTTTGCGCCAGTGTCGTGGATAGCGGCCGAGCTGAGAGACCACCCCCTGCGCACCCCCTGTGGTGTCGAGAAAGTGCCACGCCTTCTTTGGCTTAGCGCCAGTGTCATGGATAGCGCCAGAGCTGAGAGACCACCCCCTGCCCACCCCCTTTGGTGTCGAGAAAGTGCCACGCCTGCTAGGCTTTGCGCCAGTGTCGTGGATAGCGGCCGAGCTGAGAGACCACCCCCTGCCCACCCCCTTTGGTGTCGCGAATGTGCCACGCCTGCTAGGTTTTGGGACAGTGTCGTGGATAGCGGCCGAGCTGAGAGACCACCCCCTGCGCACCCCCTGTGGTGTCGAGAAAGTGCCACGCCTGCTAGGCTTTGCGCCAGTGTCGTGGATAGCGGCCGAGCTGAGCGACCACCCCCTGCGCACCCCCTGTGGTGTCGAGAAAGTGCCACGCCTGCTGGGCTTTGCGCCAGTGTCGTGGATAGCGGCCGAGCTGAGAGACCACCCCCTGCGCACCCCCTGTGGTGTCGAGAAAGTGCCACGCCTGCTAGCCTTTTTGCACAAGTGTCGTGGATAGCGGCCGAGCTGAGAGACCACCCCCTGCGCACCCCCTTTGGTGTCGAGAAAGTGCCACGCCTGCTAGCCTTTGCGCCAGTTCGGGATACGTGAGATCCACCCCCTGCGCACCCCCTTGGTGTCGAGAAAGTGCACGCCACTACTTGCGCCAGTGTCGTGGATACGCCGAACTAAAGACCACCCCCTGCGCACCCCCTGTGGTGTCGAGAAAGTGCCGACGCCTACTGGGCCCCTTGAGGACAGCGTCGTGAGAGCACCCATCCGCGCGAAGCTGGCTGCGCACCCCCGTTGGTGGTCGAAAAAGAGTGACACCTTTGCTTAGCTTTTGCGCCATGTCGAAGGATAGCGGCCAAGCTAGAGCCCAACACCCCTCCGCACCCCCTGTGGTGTCGAGAAAGTGCCACGCCTGCTTTGGCTTAGCGCCAGTGTCGTGGATAGCGGCCGAGCTGAGAGACCACCCCCTGCCCACCCCCTGTGGTGTCGAGAAAGTGCCACGTCTGCCAGTGTCGTGGATGGCGGCCGAGCTGAGAGACCACCCCCTGCCCACCCCCTTTGGTGTCGAGAAAGTGCCACGCCTGCTAGGCTTTGTGCCAGTGTCGTGGATAGCGGCCGAGCTGAGAGACCACCCCCTGCGCACCCCCTGTGGTGTCGCGAAAGTGCTACGCCTGCTAGGCCTTGCGACAGTGTCGTGGATAGCGACCGAGCTGAGAGACCACCCCCTGCGCACCCCCTGTGGTGTCGAGAAAGTGCCACGTTTGCTAGGCTTTGCGCCAGTGTCGTGGGTAGCGGCCGAGCTGAGAGACCACCCCCTGCCCACCCCCTGTGGTGTCGAGAGGGTGCTACGCCTGCTAGGCTTTGCGCCAGACCCCCTGCGCACCCCTTGTGGTGTCGAGAAAGTGCCACGCCTGCTAGGCTTTGCGACAGTGTCGTGGATAGCTGCCGAGCTGAGAGAGCACCCCCTGCGCACCCCCTGTGGTGTCGAGAGAGTGCCGCGCTTGCTAGCCTTTGCGCCAGTGTCGTGGGTAGCGGCCGAGCTGAGAGACCACCCCCTGCCCACCCCCTGCGGTGTCGAGAACGTGCCACGCCTGCTAGGCTTTGTACCAGTGTCGTGGATGGCGGCCGAGCTGAGAGACCACCCCCTGCGCACCCCCTGCGGTGTAGAGAAAGTGCCACGCGTGCCAGCCTTTGCGACAGTGTCGTGGATAGCGGCCGAGCTGAGAGACTACCCCCTGCGCACCCCCTGTGGTGTCGAGAAAGTGCCACGCCTGCTAGCCTTTTGCGCCAGCGTCGAGAACGTGCCACGCCTGCTTTGGCTTTGCGCCAGTGTCGTGGATAGCGGCCGAGCTGAGAGACCACCCCCTGCCCAACCCCATTTGGTGTCGAGAAAGTGCCTCGCCTGCGTAGGCTTTGGTGTCGAGAAAGTGCCTCGCCTGCTAGGCTTTGCGCCAGTGTCGTGGGTAGCGGCCGAGCTGAGAGAACCACCGCCTGCCCACCCCCTTTGGTGTCGAGAAAGTGCCACGCCTGCTAGGCTTTGCGCCAGTGTCGTGGATGGCGGCCGGGCTGAGAGACCACCCCCTGCGCACCCCCTGTGGTGTCGCGAACGTGCCACGCATGCTAGGTTTTGCGACAGTGTCGTGGATAGCGGCCGAGCTGAGAGACCACCCCCTGCGCACCCCCTTGTGGTGTCGAGAAAGTGCCACGCCTGCTAGGCTTTGCGACAGTGTCGTGGATAGCGGCCGGGCTGAGAGACCACCCCCTGCGCACCCCCTGTGGTGTCGAGAAAGTGCCACGCCTGCTAGGTTTTGCGCCAGTGTCGTGGATAGGGACCGCGGTGAGAGAGCACCCCCTGCGCACCCCCTGTGGTGTCGAGAAAGTGCCACGCCTGCTAGGCTTTGCGCCAGTGTCGTGGATAGCGGCCGAGCTGAGAGACCACCCCCTGCGCACCCCCTGTGGTGTCGAGAAAGTGCCACGCCTGCTAGGCTTTGCGCCAGTGTCGTGGATAGCGGCCGAGCTGAGAGACCACCCCCTGCGCCACCCCCTGTGGTGTCGAGAAAGTGCCACGCCTGCTAGGCTTTGCGCCAGTGTCGTGGATAGCGACCGAGCTGAGAGACCACCCCCTGCGCCACCCCCTGTGGTGTCGAGAAAGTGCCACGCCTGCTAGGCTTTGCGCCAGTGTCGTGGATAGCGGCCGAGCTGAGAGACCACCCCCTGCGCACCCCCTGTGGTGTCGAGAAAGTGCCACGCCTGCTAGGCTTTGCGCCAGTGTCGTGGATAGCGGCCGAGCTGAGAGACCACCCCCTGCGCACCCCCTGTGGTGTCGAGAAAGTGCCACGCCTGCTAGGCTTTGCGCCCAGTGTCGTGGATAGCGGCCGAGCTGAGAGACCACCCTGCCCCCCCTGTGGTGTCGAGAAGTGCCACGCCTGCTAGCCTTTGCGCCAGTGTCGTGGATAGCGGCCGAGCTGAGAGACCACCCCCTGCCCACCCCCTTTGGTGTCGAGAAAGTGCCACGCCTGCTAGACTTTGCGCCAGTGTCGTGGACAGGTGCCGAACTGAGAGACCACCCCCTGCCCACCCCCTGTGGTGTCGAGAAAGTGCCACGCCTGCTAGGCTTTGCGCCAGTGTCGTGGGTGGCGGCCGGGCTGAGAGACCACCCCCTGCGCACCCCCTGTGGTGTCGAGAAAGTGTCGTGGATAGCGGCCGAACTGAGAGACCACCCCCTGCGCACCCCCTGTGGTGTCGAGAAAGTGCCACGCCTGCTAGGCTTTGCGCCAGTGTCGTGGATAGCGGCCGAGCTGAGAGACCACCCCCTGCGCACCCCCTGTGGTG